AGTCACTATCCTCCCTTGTGTTTATCCATATGTTGTAGTTATCCTAATCATTATAGGATTAGGATAATCATCCCCTTTATTTGTAGCAATCCTTATCTCCTAAGGAATATGCTTTATTTTCTTGTATGTATATATATATGTGTAACCACGTGATTAATAATACAATGAGAGTTACAACCTTCTTCTTTATTTCACAATAATTATTATCTAATTTAAATATTCATGTTTATTAGAAAACCATATTCAATATATTAACAAATTGTACAGTTCTATGTAAATGAAAGAAAATTGATCAGTTAAATTGATATTACTTAAATATAAATTATTGTTTATTTAAATTTTTTATTTATTTTAAAATACTTTTATTTTTGTAACTGTTATTTTACTATTAACTGTACTATCTATTTATTATTATCCAGTGTGATTATGCACCATATAAATGTTTAATTCTTATAAATTTAGTATTTAAGTGTTTAACTAATAAAAAAAGTTACACTAATAACAACACTAAATAGAAAATTTTAATTTGAGAAAATGACTAAAATAACACTAAATTTTTTTGTCACAAATATAACGTTTAAGAATAAAAATGACCAAAATAGCACTAAATGTTTTATCAAAAGAGATAAATATACACTTATATCCCAATGATAAATTAATTTAGTCATTAGGGTTTAGGGTTATGGGGTGGAATTTAGGGTTTAGGGTTTAAGGTTTAGGGTTTACAGTTTAGGGTTTAGGGCTTAGAATTTAGGTTTTAGGGTTTAGAGTTGGAGAGTGAGCTTTTGGGGATAAGATTTCAATTTTTGGAAAATAAAACAAATTTAAAATTTTCAAAAGATAAAATGCTATTTTGGTTATTTTAGTTGTTGAAGGCTATTTTCGTGACATAAAGTTAGAAATATGCTATTTTGTAGATTTACCCTTTTAATTTTCAATTATATTGATACATATATTTAACATTTTAAATATTTCTTAATTGTTCAATTCCGCAAATTATATATTTTCACCAATCAACACAATTCCGCACCATTAATTTTAATAAAACCGCACTTATCCCGCAAAACGCACGAACCGCAGTTGTACCGTCCCACACTTTAATTCCGTACCGCTTTTAATACCAATTCCGCTATCACCATTCGGAGCCTTTCTTTTTGAACTTACCAAATAATCTGATTTCTTACATAAAAGTTGAAAACATGTAATAACGATTGTCCGTATACGATTTACATTGGAGTTTCAATTTAACAATCACATCATATATAACAGTGTAAGTTACAACTTACAAGTAAAAGGTTAGGAAGTACTATTTACAAATTACATATTTACATTACCAACATCGAATTAGTATAGTGGTAAAGGGACTGCAGCAGTAACTATCGTCGTTTGGATTTAATTCGTGTGTTGAGAAATACTATCTAAAATGTTTGGATTTTTAATAAAGAGATTAAATTATTTTTCTTTTTACAAAAACAAACTAAGGGTTAGGCATTGACATTCATCGTGGATAATGGGAACGTCACGTCATTGAAGTCCAAAGTTTCTCAATATATCAAAACCGAAAGTACGGAGGTTCGTGGAACTGACCGTCCCCGTCCCACGCGTTGTTAACTTATAATCATAGATTGTTACTAGATGATAATCCGCGCCATGCGCGGAGTGAGCTTTTTAAAAATATATTGTATTTAAATATATATTTTGCTATCATAATTTTTTTACATTTGATTAGAGATAGGCATTTGGATACCATTTGGTTTGGTTAGATTTTGTTTGGTTTAGATCTTTGCGGTTTGGTTCGAATTTTTGCAGGTTCAGATTGGGTTTAGTTTCGGATAATCCATTTATTTTTTTATAAAAAAGATTGAAATTCATATATACTTTAAAATTTTCAAAATCTAAAAGTAAAAAATAATATATAATATATAAATTTGAAAAATGAATGCCAAAATACTTAAAATTAACATAAAATTGCTTTATCATAAATATTTGGAAAAAAAATAAATAAATATTTTAAATATTTTTGGTATTTGGAGTATCGTTTAGCTATTTTTTAAATATGCATTTAACTGTTTTATATATTTCTAAGTATTTTGGAACATTTTAAAAAATATATTAATATATTTAAGTATATAAATCTGGTTCGAGCACTTGGATAC